CAGTCTGTGCTAACTTTCGTCTGATGTATGATTGACTTCTTTCTGGCCTTAGACACATCCCTCGTTTCATTTGTGCTTTAGAGTAGTTCCTCTTGACATGGCTTTGTCTGATTATTTTGTGATCATCAGGTATATGTTTGTGTTCCAGTTATTCATCTCTTGACGCTTGGTTTCTTATGTCAGTCGCTTCATCTGTCCTAACTTTACTGGTTCGTGTCTTTCCTTGATTATTCCTCATAGGCTTCGTCTGATACTTTGATGTCTCATTTTAGTAATAGTCGATTTCATCCTTATGCTTGATTTCTTATCATCTGGTTTGTACAGTCTTCATGAAATATGACATTTAATGCCTCTGACTTAGCATTTAATGTTTGCTTGCTGAATCTGCACTTCTCGAGATCTCTTGTACTTTCTTAGTATTGTTGCTAAAGAGGTGTTGTGTTTTGTTGACTGATAGGTGTACTTGCTCTGACACACACTGTTTTGATTTGTGGATAAGTGCTCGTCCATTTTTCTTAACTTTCTTCTTCTATTTTGATGTGTACATGTGTTCTTCCGGAAGTGTGGATGCTAGATAGTTTGCCTCATTGTGTCTTCAGACGCAATACAGCTTTCTTAACCATCGTTTGTGTATTTGAGTCTCCGTCTAGGGTGCTCTTGCTAGGATTTTCCCATCATCCATGGTCTTGTATCATTTGAGTCTTCATTATTTCCCTTCTTATGCGGGGCTATATTTCGTTTGATTGTTTGATCTCCTTATCTGACGACTTGTTAGCTTTTGCCCTTCATCTTGGTTGCTCATGTCCTATTCTTTATTTCTTGTATAGGTGTCTTCATTTGATGATTTCATAGGCTTTAATCATGTATATTGGCTTGGTCTTGTATGATATTTGGTTCAGCCCAATCCCTGTTATCATATTTGTCTAAAACACTAATACACACGTTAGTAACAACAACATGCATTATATTTGTCTTCATTCAAAACCTTAGTGGGGCTTACGAATTGCTTCGTCTGACTTAACACAGAGATGTATAGTTTTCTCAAGACTAATTATGTGCCCTGGAAACAATCCTAGATGCAGAATAAGTTAATGATGTACATCTGGGTCCTTAAAATCTTCTACCTGCCAAATAAACAAGGTGTTATAGTTAAGCCTTTTGATGGATTCTATCTTCTTGAGGGGTATCATTTTAGAATAGGCAAACTTTGCATACCTCAAGGATCCATTAGAAAGCTTTTGGTCAAAGAGAATTGATGGACTCCTTCCACCAAGAGGATGATCAAAACGTCAATGGTGAAGAGGAGCTCCTTGCCAAGGCCAAGATGGTGACCTTAGAGGGTGGACGTTCCTTCAAGGGTGAGGTTAAATGATGGTGGGCGTGAATGGTGGGGGTTTAGGCGAATAGGAGGAATGAAGGGAGGATGGTGTTTTTGGGTGTTCTAGTTGGCTCTCTTCACCAAGTGGAGGTGAAGGCCACTCAAGGGAATCCTAAACTCACTCTAGGGAGGAGATAGGAGAGGTAGGCCATGGAGACCAAGTGACTAAGGAAAGGATTTGAGGCAAAATGCTCTCTCAAATTCATATAATCCAAAATGTGTACAATGTGCTAGGCTAAGGGTACTTATAGGAGTGGGAAGGCATCTAGGGTTGCATTTAGGGTTACATGGTCGTGTAATGCAGCCCAAATGCAACCTAAATGAACCCTAGATGATGTGTGGGTTCATTCCTACCAAAAGACCAAAATATCCTTTGATCTAAAAATAGAAAAAGTGGACTTTTGACCTCACAAGTCAAGGTTTAAGCCCAAAAATTTATCCTAAACTAATTTGCCCCATAATACAAAGGCTAAATGAAAATACATAATAAAATCCTATTATCTAAAGTACCCCAAAATACAAGGGTAAAAAAAGGAAATAAAGCAATAAAGTCCTATACTACTCAAAATGGGCCTAGGTGATGGATCAATACTCCACACTCATGATGAGTATGGCTCTAGGTATGGTGTCTCCTTATCTTCCTCCATTCTCCTAGCCATGGACCTAGTAATGGGTCTAATATGAAACTCCAAGGGTGGTCCTCCATCAAGAGTCATGAAGGGGGTCTCATGGGTCATTTTGGGGTTGATAAAACCCTAAGTTTCTTAAAAGCAAAATTTTATTGGCCACATATGAGAATAGGTGATCAAAGGCATTGTCCAAATGTATTCCAAGTCCTCATGGACTCTATACCCCCCTTCCCATAGCTAGCTCCCCTTGAGTAGATATTAGTATGGACTTTGTGCTTAGACTTCCAAGGACTTAAAGGGGATTTGACTCCATCTTTGTGGTAGTGGACCGTTTTAGCAAAATGGCTTATTTCATACCATGCCACAAAGTGGATGATGCTAGCTATATAGCTAAGTTATTCTTTAGGGAAGTGGTCCGCTTGCATGGTCTACCCAAGACAATTGTGTCCGATAGGGATGCTAAGTTCCTTAGTCATTTTTGGAAAGTATTATGGGAAAAACTAGGAACAAAGCTCCTCTATTTTACTACTTGTCATCCTCAAACCAATGGCCAAACTGAAGTAGTAAATAGGTCCCTATCCACTTTGTCAAGGGTACTCCTAAAGGGGAATAAGAAAACTTGGGATGGTTGTCACCCCCACCTAGAATTTGCATACAATAGAGTAGTCCATAAGACTACAAATCTTTCATCCTTTGAAGTTGTATATGGCTTTAACCCAATAACTCCTCTTGATCTACTACCCCTTCCTAATAATCCTTCCATGTTTCACAAAGAAGGTGTATCTAGGGCAGACTTCATTAAAAATTATCATGAAAAGATCAAGAACCAAATTGAATTACTAATTATATATATATATATATATATATTATATAGATAAATACGTTAAGCTATCATATCTAATAATTGTTTTTATAAACTTAAATCTAATTTTTTTTAAATAAATAGACATAAAAGTCTAAATATGACTTTTTATTATTATTAAATACGCTATGATATAGTAAATTTTAAATAAATTAGATTTTATTTGAATTTTTACTTATTTTCATATCTAATTACTGTACATAAAATTTGTGATGAATTAATTTTAACATACAAATTATCTATCAACATTCAAATATTGATATAATTTAACTAATTGTTTATAATTATATAATTAATGTTAATCCTTGTTATAACATACTTTTATTCAACACACTCTCTATATATAATTGTTAAATTTTTCTCAAGATAGAGACATTTAAGTTAAAAAAAATTAAAAAGTTAGCTTAACTAAAATAATTAATAATAGGACTGATAATAACTGCACAAACCTTAAAGACTAAGACTAATTAAAAGTAGGTGGCGCGAAAACAACCGGCCCTATTGCTCCCTCTATTGCTCCCTCCATTCCTAACTGAAACCGTTTTCTCATATCTCGGTTTAATTTAATATATATTTTTATAACCTTTTATTTTAATTTAATTTTTGTTTCTTAAGAAAAGTCTTTTGTGCACTCTTT